TGTAATTTATTTCATCGGTCAAATGTGCTTTATTTGAATATACAAATAAACATATTGCACAAAAACTGTCAGTTTACCGAATCTTTAATTATGGAATTATGTGTGCGCCCACCACTGTTTTATACGGTGTATGCGATGCTGCAGTTACAATGGTGCTTCAATACAAAATACCTTTAGTGTGGCTTAACAATGGTAGATTAAAAACAAAAAAAAATTACAAATTTCTTGACTTCAGAGGTGTTATGACCATTAATATTACCTAATAACCACTCAGCGGACCTCTGACTTTTCAAATGACACCTCATTAGTGGAATTGCTTACATAGAAAAATAGAAAAAGGGAGACTAACAAATAACACCTTAGAGAAATAAAATATAAGATGTACTGGACAGTGTATGTGCTTGTGTGTAAAGCAAAGAGTTTAAAGCAGAGTTATAATTAGTAAACTGTTTAAAGCAGAATGTCAAAACGGTGGAACAACTGTTCACTTGCAAGTTGTTACTACTTTTGTGTTCAATAACTTTTTCTGCTAATTTTGTCTTCTTCTTAATTTTAGGCTCTAATTTGCGTTTACGCTCTCGCTGTAATTTTTGTTTACTGGAGAAGTAACCATACACACCTAATAACTAACTACAGTAAAACCCGCTTAAGTACCTCACGAAAAATGTCAGCTTTTTGAGGTACTTAAGCGGGTTGGGTACTTAAAAGAACCCGCTTAAGTACCTCGATGCGGGTACTTAAGCGAACATAATTACTGATGTAATTACGTTAACTTACATAAATACTTGATTAACAACATTTAATGAGGTATACATAGCTTCTGTTTGGTTGTTTGTGTTTCCGACAGGGTAGGAGTATGATGTATTGTGGAACGATTTTCCGTCATCCCTTGTCAAATTTGGTTTGGAGACAAACCGGTTTCGGCGTTGTGCCATCTTCAGTGTCATTTTTCGTTCTGAATAGTTCGTGTTTCCTTCCGCTTTTTATGTATTCGTGTTACTATCTATTTTAACTGTCATTAGGTCATGCATACCCATCTAAGTGCGACCGCTTTTGTTTCATTATCTCACAGGTAGGTGCTTTTTGGTTGCTTGTATTCGCCGGCGGGTAGAAATCCGTTATTTTTATTTTCTTGGTTTTCGGTTATGTTCCGTTATTTAGCAGGTATTAGGTTGCTTGCTTGTGCCGGCAGATAGAAATCCGTTATTTTCATTTTCTTGGTCTCTGCGGCGTAGGTATGTATCTTCGCGTTGTCGTTTTTTTTAGGGGTCTTCTCATATTTTTCGTACAACATCTTGAGTGGTTCGAATATTACATCGGATACGGTGTTTGTTTGTTCGTTTATAATTCTGCCTTGAAATGTTTTCTGCTTGTATATCTCCATGTTTTCCAATATGTTCAAACGCCGTCCTTTATGCTGTACATGGAGGAGTTTGGCTGCCTTATTAATTTTCATTGGTGTACATTTATTTTCGAACATATGATTTGCGAAGCTTTATTCTGGTGTGACGCTTGGTTTTTGTGTACTCTTATTGTAGTCTCTTATATGTTCTCGGAATCTTGTTTTAATCTTACGGCCAGTTTGCCCTATGTAGCTACACTTGCATTCACACGTTAATTTGTATACACCCTGCTTATCTAGAGTGTCCTCTTCCTTTTTTATATAGTACATAGTAGGTATACATAGTCTAAAACCAAAATCGTAGTATTATTTAAATACATAAACAAGTAAAGAAAAACTTTATTTAAAAAAATATTTAGTGTAATGGTATGTTATTTTTACAAGAATTAAATTGTTTGAAAGTCAAAGTTGGACATATAAATTTGTACCAAATTCAAAATGATATTGTTTGCCACTTATGTTTATTTATTGATTTTTAAGATTTTTCAATCAATAAAAATGCAGTTCATTCGCTAACAAATCCCATATAAACCTAAGCTTATGATGTTGTAGAAAACTTAAAAAAAAAAATTATCATAATTTAAAATTTTTTTCTTAGAAGCGTTTTTTGAGTATACAGTTTTAGAGCCTATTCAATTTTAGTGTAATAATGTGCAAGTTTCAAGTGGCTAAAAGTTGCCGTTGATCTTTTAGATTTTTTTTACCGAAGGTGTGTAGCGCTGCTACTGAATTTCAAAATACGTAAATATTTTAAGGAATTTTAAAAGAGCACTTAAAAGGGGAAAATTATAAGTAAAATTGTAAATGGGGCACGAAAAATTTAGGTACTTAGGCGGGTTGGGTACTTAAGCGGGGAGGTACTTCCCTGCAGGAAATGTATCTAACACATTACTTCAAGTTGATTAGGAAGGAGCTAAAAGTCACTTATTATCTGTATATTTTCTTCGACGAAAGCTAACAATATTTGTATGGCGATGGCCGCGAAATAGTTAAGGGTGGTTTACCTCTGCATTAGATGTAGTCAAGGGTGGTTACCTCTGCATTTGATGTAATTAACTTGTATCTAACTACTTTTGGACATAAAATATGAATACGAAATAAAAAATCTTTTTTTAATTTTTTTTCTTTATTTATTTTATTACATTTTATATTTGTTACCATATTCTGCTGTAGGTGGTTCCATATTCGAGCTTCGTCAGACATAACTTAAAAATGATAATATGAAATTTCGATCTTCCTTTTATTTTTTATTATTTGCGAAGTGCAAGATATTTAAATAGAAACGCGTTTAAAGAAAACAACCTCGAGCTCGAGGGGGGGGAGTACTTAAGCGGGTTTCACTGTACAAGCAGGGTTGCCATTGAAACACTTTTTTTCCTACCAGGAACTGATTCTAAAACCTACCAAGATGGCTTCCATCCTACCATTTCTTTTAATCAAGAAAATGACGTTTGACAGCATCAAATACAATTATTATTTTTTGGTTTGTATGCTAAAAAAATGGGGGTTTCTTTTCTACCGAAAAACGTTGCCTTCTCTGGCAAAATTTTTTGTAGAAATGAAAACACCATAAGATTTTCAGGTAAATAAAAGAGATCAGGGTAATAGTTTTAAAAAAGCCTTCGGAGTAAATGGCGCGCAAAATCGCAGCAGAAAATAAAATCGCGGCGTTGATTTTTTATACATCGCTCATTTGCGTACAAACATATATTATGATGTATATGTATATAAGTAACGTAAAAAGTAAACTCACAGTTTAGCTTTCAAAACGTCCTGGTTTCGCTAGGAGCCTCCGGGCTTGCGAAAAATCT